AAAAAAAAAAAAAAAATTAGCCAGGAGTAGTGCAGGTGAGGTTGGCTCACTGCAAACCTCCGCCTCCCAGTTTCAAGTGATCCTCCTGCCTCAGCCTCCTGAGTAATTGAGATTTCACCATGTTGACCAGGCTGATTTCAAACTTCTGACCTCCGGTGATCCACCCTGCTTAGCCTCCCTAAGTGCTGATATTACAGGTGTGAGCCACTGCCCCCAGCCATCCACCTAGGTTTTCAAGGCAAAAATCTAGGACTCACCATTGGTGCCTCTTTCTCCCAGCCTTCATTCACCTCAGCCAGTCCCATCAGCTGCAATTCCAGAGCATTTTCTGAGTGATCCATTTCTCTCTGACTCCCCTATGACCGCACTAGGTCAAGCCACCTTCATATCTTCCCTGCATGACTACGGCAGCCACCTACCTAGTCTGTCAGCTTCCTCTCTCTGATCCACCCCTACCTGCCACCTGTTCGATTTCCATACGGCCGCCAGGGTGTTCTTTCAAAAACATCATGCTGGGCACAGTGGCTCAAGCCCATAATCCTAGCACTTTGGGAGGCTGGGGCAGGACGGTCGCTTGAGTGCAGGAGTTCAAGATCATGTCTCTACAAAAAATAAAAAATGAATGAGGCTGCAGTGAGCCGTGATGGCACCACTGTCCTACAGCCTGAGCAACAGAGTGAGACCCTGTTCCAGAGGAAGAGATGGGGTAGGGAAGGAAAAAAAACCCCAGTATCCTTCAACACATGAATGGACAAATACATTAGGGCATATTCATATGGCGGAATACTATATAACAAGAAAAAAGAACAAACTATTAATACCTACATGAATGAATCTCACAGAATGAATGTTAAATAAACAAAGCCAGACACAGGCTGGGTATGCTGGCTAACACTTCCAGTCCCAGCACTTTGGGGGCCTGAAGTAGGAGACTCTCTTAAGCCCAGGTGTTCAAGACCAGGCTGGCCAACATAGTGAGACCCCACCCCCCATCTCTACAAAAAATAATTAGCTGGGCATGTTGGTTCATGCCTGTAATCCCAGTACTTTGGGAGGCTGAGGTGGGAGGATTGCTTGAGCTCAGGAGTTTAAGACCAGCTCAGGCAACATAGGGAGACCTCATCTCTTTAAAAAAAAAAAAAAATTAGCCAGAAATGGTGGTGCATTTGTGTAGTCCCAGCTATTCAGTAGGCTGAAGTGGGAGGTCAAGGCTGCAGTGAGCATAGATCATGCCACTGTATTCTAGCATGGGTGAAAGAGGGAGACCCTGTCTCAAAAAAAAAAAAAATTAGCCAAACATAGTGGTGCATGCGTGTAGTCCCAGCTACTCAGGAGGCTGAGGTGGGAAAACCGCTTAAGCCCAGGAGTTCAAGGCTGCAGAGAGCTATGATTGCACCCCTGTACTCTAGCCTGGGTGACAGAGTGAGACTGTTTCTTTCTTTTTTTTTTTTTGAGACGGA